GTATATATATATCTATATATATATATAGATATATATATACATATATATGTATGTATGTATATATATAAAATTTGTGCTAGAGGGCTCATGTACTTGCTGGGGAGAGAAAGAGGGAAAGTGAGAAGGCACCCTGTGGAAATGGCCACACTGCAATCCCCTCTCCTCCATTTCTCCTTTCAGGATTTTAGACATACTTACATACACACCCAGTGTCCCTTTCAAGTCTCTGGGTCCAGGACTTGAACAGTACGGTCGGCCATGTGGGATCCACCTGCCTTAACCACCGTGCCACTGCCTGAACCTTCATCATCTTTTAAACATGATTTTCTTCAAAGATTCAGCCTCCTAAGAGAGCCACCTGCCTAGCCAAGCCTCTAATCCTACATCCTAGGAGTTCCAGACCCCTGTCCAGGAGCCCAGTCCCATGAGTTCGTTTTTGGACTCTCTCTCTCTCTCTCTTTTCCTTTGGTGCCAATTTCCAAACCAGGCCTCAATATCCACATCTATAAATATTGGTATTGGATTAAGTAATCTAAGACATTTCTGGGCTTCTAAAGATGACTCTGTGAGGAGTGACATCTTAGAAAGAAAAGTGGTGCTATAAGGCTGATTGTTGCACTATTTTCTATTTCTTAGAGTCAGTTTTTTAAACTTTAACTTAACTGAGATTCGTGTGTTTCTAAGTATCCATAAAAAGATGATGTTTCACCTAGTATGAACAATAATTTGAAAAATATATAACAGATAATGTTTATCCTTAAAGCTATAAAGCACCAAAAATAAGGTATCCCATGATACGACAGTGCCTCTCAAACCTAACAAGCTTCATTACATTTTTAGTGCTCTGGCCTCAGTATCCAGATACAAATTTGGGGGCTTATAGCTGATTGGTTGGGTCAACTATTAACACATGGGCCATTTTTTTGTTTGTTTTTTGTTTGTTTGTTTGTTTGGGTTTTTTTTTTTTTTTGAGAGATTTTCGCTATAGGGTACGTGCGCTCGCCATACAGACAGGAAGGGACATAGAGAGAGAAAAGTGCTCTGGCCTCAGTATCCAGATACAAATTTGGGGGCTTATAGCTGATTGGTTGGGTCAACTATTAACACATGGGCCATTTTTTTGTTTGTTTTTTGTTTGTTTGTTTGTTTGGTTTTTTTTTTTTTTTGAGAGATTTTCGCTATAGGGTACGTGCGCTCGCCATACAGACAGAGAGAGACATAGAGACAGAAAGCGAGAAATCACCCCCCACGGGGGATGGTCACACCGTAATCCCTTCTCCTCCATTCTCCTCTCGGGATCTTGGGCACGCAAGCACATGCGCCCGGCGTGAGTTTTAAGCCACCCGGTCCAAGACGCGAACCGCGGTCGACTACGTGGGAGTCCAGTGACATAGCCATTACGCTAACTGCTGGTTCCCCACATGGGCCGTTTTTTGTGTCAAAACTTAAGAACAATGTGAATTTGAATTTATGTGAGTTATCCAAAGGGTCACTTGTAGGACACTCCCTCATTAGGGTGCTTTTTGCTGCTCTTTGCTACAGAGATAGGTACTCGATATCATCTTATAAAGGATCATTGCCCAGCTTATATGCTAACAATAGTATAGGTATTTGAATTTATAAAAATGCTCAGTTAATCCCAATAGACAGCAAAGTGAGCTTAGTCATCCCTGTGGAAGTCTAGGTCCCTTCTCACTACTGGCAAGCAGTCAGGAATCCAAGAGCTCAGCCTGAACCAAGGATCTAGACTGCCAGAATATTGCGGCAACAGGGCTTTCATGAATTACGTGCTGGTTTTTCTTCTTTATTGCTAGATTCTGACCGTCATGTATTTACTTTAAATCTTGGCGGTTTGGAGAGGGGAAGTAGATTTTTGCTGCGTGTTCACTGCTTCATAATTATCCACCCTCAGGAAAAGAGAAACTTTCTTCAGTTTGATGTAGAAGATACCAATGAACAAGGATGGATTTCTAGACCACTTAGTTGTGTATCTTCTTGTTTACCATCAGG